CAGTGAGGGGCTGACAGCCCAGGAGGGGGTAAGTGACAGACGCCATTTCCCAGGGGACTTCCCTGTCCCCGGCCAGACTGGTCCCCGAGAACCACCTGTCCCTCACCTGACCAAGCCCGGGTCCCTCGGGGCCACTGAAGAGACTCCAGCATATTCGTCAGGGTTTGTCTGGGGAGACGAGAGTGCTTAAGCCGTTCCGACAAGGAAATATTGTTCCAAGAGGATTTGGGCAGGGAAATAGGATTTAGGTTAAGTCAATCCTTGGCAGCTGAAAGCAGAAAGTGATTTTGGGTTCTGGAATAGACTCCCGGCCAGAGGCGCTGGCGGGATTTGAAATTCAGAGCCTGAAAAAACTTGCTAAAAGCTTCATCATCCATCCACCCTAATTCCCTGTTTCCTGGTGCCGCTGTTCAGAGCAGAAGCAAAGGAGAGGATGAATCTGTCCGTGTATCTTGAAAAACAAACTCCTAAGCTCCGTACAAGCCCCTCAAACACCATCAAGCAGGTCTTCCAAACGCCCGAGTACAGGGTTAATGGGAAGGGCTCCTTCTTGGTCCCGCAGGGCTGGGGTCAGCGAGCAGGTTTCCTGTCAGCCAAACCTGGCTGGGTGAGTAGCTCATTCTCCACACGTTTGCCCCTCCCTGGGGACACACTCAGCAGCTACTGTGAGTTCGTTTGAACTAATAAAAACTTTCAAAGATTCTCATAAATATGCACCACACTCAGAATTAATGGAAACATTACCCCCCACCAAGCAATTTAAAATCCCCCGTTTGGAAGTCAGAAACTCGACCGGAGGCGAGCCAGTCGGGCCCAGGGGGCCCAGGACGGCAGAGGCCCATGTCCATCAGGGGTCTTGGCAGGGGTCACGGAGCAAACGTCCCCGGCAAGAGCCAGGCTGCGTGGACAGGTGAGGCAGGAACCGGAGCAGCCAAGAGCATCCTTGTGCCTCGAAGGCAAACTCAGACCTGGGTTTGAGGCTCTGTACTGCAGGGGCTTTGCTCCTGCCTGCCCAAGTCCCCGGGGCCTGCTGTGGCCCCAGGCTCAGGCAAGCCTCTGGGGGGGGGGTGTTGGGGGTTGGCAGCCCTGAGGCCGACATGGCCTCCCCCAGGGGACTGCAAGACTGAGGCCCCTCTACCGCCTTCCAGAAGGTTCTATCCTGCTGGAAACCATCAGCCCCACACAGAGGCCTGGGGCCCAGGGGCTTGGCGGCCGCACGCTGGAGGCAGGACTTGCCTTGTCCCTTCACTGGGGTGCAAGGACACTGGAGCACTGAGCCCCTCCTCTTCGCGGAGCACCCCGCAGGGCACCCAGGAGCTCCCAGAGTCCAGGCAGGTGCATGGCCCCCGCCAGTTCTTACATGCCAGCATCTCTGCGGACCCTTGGCCCTGCCTGCCCTGAAGAGCCCCAAGGGTGGCTCTGGGAGCGATTTCCACGAGCCCCAGGAGAAGACCCCAAGGCGGGCACAGCAGGGGCGCTGCCTCGCATGCAGCCAGCCCGGGTTCAACTCCCGGCACCCCACAGCTTCCCCCAGCACCGCCGGGAGTAAGCCCTAAGCAGTGTCAGGGTGCCACCCCCAAAGAAAGTTAGTCAAGAAAACCTCCTCAGCTTTTAGTTTCAAAGCTCATGTATTTGTTTGCTTATTTATCTGGGGCTGTGGTTACCCCGGCCATGCTCAGGGCCGACTCCCAACTCTGTGCTCAGGGTTGACTCCCGACTCTGTGCTTGGGGCTGACTCCCGGCTCTGTGCTCAGTCACTCCCGGCTCTGTGCTCAGTCACTCCCGGCTCTGTGCTCCAGGCTAACTCCCGGCTCTTTGCTCAGGGCTGACTCGCAGCTCTGTGCTCAGGGTCACTTCTAGCTCTGTGTTCAGGGCTGACTCCTGGCTCTGCTCAGGGCTGACTCCCAGCTCTGTGCTCTGGGTCACTTCTAGCTCTGTGCTCAGGGCTGACTCCTGGCTCTGTGCTCAGTGAGGTTTGGGAGACTCTGTGATGGCGGGGATGGGTTTCGCACTGACTATATACAGCCAAGGCCAATGCCTCCCACTGTCCTGTATCACCAGACTCTTTAATGTTCATGAGACGGCTGGCACTGTGACCGGGCTGCTGCGGAGAGCATGGGGGTGGGGCACGCCCTGGGGACTTGCTGCCCCCTGCCAGGCACCCGGAGGGAATGTCCACCAGCTCTGGGCCCCTCCAGCGCGGCTCTGGGCAGGGTGTGGCAGCCCATGAAGCAATCTCAGCACTTAAGGGTGTAGCTGTTTGGGGGCTGCTCCTGGCTCAGTGCTCATGGGACTCCGAGGGGTCTCTGCAGGTGGGCATCTGAGAAACCCCCACGAATGCGGGTCTGCAGTGCTCTCACTCACACCCTGCCCAGGGCACCCACTGACACTGGCCACCCTCACGCCAGGCTGCTGCCCGCTGCTCTGGCCACAGGCCCTCCTGGTTGATGGGCTTGGCTTAACGGAGGCAGGGAAGGTGTCAGCCGGGGGGGATGGGTTGCCCTCGGGGGCGCGCTGCTGACCACTGTGACCAGCCGCCAGGCCTCTCTCTGAGCTCCCTCACGTCCCCTCACAGCCTCTGGGACCCTGTGGCCAAGCTGATGGAGAGGCGGGAGCCAGGCCTGGGCAGCAGCCGTGAGAGGGGAGTGGGGGCCCCGACCTCCAGCAGGGAGCAGATGCCACCGGTCTCTCCCATGGACCAGCACTAGGCTGCAGAGATCACCCTCAGCAACGAGGGCAAGGAGCGAGGGCCTAAACCCCAGCAGGCAGGTGCCACCCGCTTTTCGGGGGTGTCTGAAGGTGGGACCGTGCCCAGGGTCTGCCTCCCTTGGGCACGAGGAGGAACAGCTGCCGCAGGCTCAGGGCCATGGGCGGAAGGACAGACCCTGTGTGGTGTCCACGGTACCCTGAGACAAGGGGATGGCCATGTCAACGATGGCAGACCGTGGCCCTGAATCACAGAACTGAGACGCCCCAGTGGGGGTGGGGGTGGGAACAGAACCAGACGTGACCAGGGCCAATGCAGAACTGACACACAGCGCCGGCAGTGACTCGTAACTGCAACCACGGCTACCAGGAATGTTTCCAAGTAGAGCTGGTGGGCTAAGGAAAGAAAATGGGGTTTTTAAAAAGTTCAATAAAAACCACAAAAGGCAAAGGAAGAGAACAAGACAGAAAGAAAGCAAAGACGAGAGAGAAAACGTGAAGGTGGTGGGTGCGAGTTCCACCGGGTGACACGCTGCGCTCAAGCAAACCTGCCAGGAGACAACGTAGGGTTTAAGCCCCCATCACTCTGTTGGGTCTGGGAGGGATGATTTATAAAATGAGAAACACAGAAATTTACTATATTCGATTTCTTCTCAAGTCACCTCACAGGCGTGGTCGTTAAAGCTTGAGAGAGAAGGGATCACTAAGTCAAGGATGGTTGGAGGGGTCGCTCAGGATGGGAGATAAAGAGGTGAAAAAGGACCAAACGTGATGGCCTCTCAGTGTCTGTATTGCAAACCATGATGTCCAAAAGCGGTAGGGCATTTGCCCGGTTTGATTCCTCCGCCCCTCTCGGAGAGCCCGGCAAGCTATCGAGAGTATCTCGCCCGCACGGCAAAACCTGGCAAGCTCCCCGTGACGTATTCGATATGCCAAACACAGTAACAAGAAGTCTCACGATGGAGACGTTACTGGGCCTGCTTAAGCAAATCGATGAACGGACAGTGCTACAGATGTCCAAAAGTAGAGAGAGAGTATGGGGGAGACTGTTTGCCAGGGAGGCAGGGAGAGGGGTGGGATGGGGGGGTACTGGGGACATTGATGTGCACTGGTGGAGGGACGGGTGTTTGATCATTGTATGACTGAAACTCAAACATGAAAACTTTTTAAACGGCATATCACAGTTAAAAAAATTTTGATTCAATAAGAATAAAAAATTTTTTTTTTTTGCTTTTTGGGTCACACCCGGCAATGCACAGGGGTTACTCCTGGCTCTGCGCTCAGGAGTTACTCTTGGCGGTGCTCAGGGGACCATATGGGATGCTGGGAATTGAACCCGGGTCGACCGCGTGCAAGGCAAACGCCCTACCCGCTGTGCTATTGCTCCAGCCCCCAAAAAATAATTAAAAAAAAAAAAAAACCTAATGGAAATACTGAAACACAAACTGTGGCTGAAACCAGGTGGTATTGGGATCTCTCCGGGCATCCAAGGGCCAGCCCAGAGTCATCAGGAGGGAAGGACGCACCAGTGCTGAAAAGTCGGCTTTAATCACATTTCCATGACTTCCAAGAACATCATTGCAATGATACAAAAAGCCAAGAGGGACACGGGGATGTGCAGCTAGAAAATGGATTCACAGTGAGTAGGACGTGTGGAACAGGACTGCTTCTCTCTCCAGGGAGGAAAAGGCTCTTCCCAGGCAGCCGGGAAGATGCAGGGGGTCTCTTCCACAAGCAGCTCCTGTGCACTCCCCACGGAGAGCCGCCATGGGATTTAATTTAATCGGGTAATCAGATGGACATGTCCACGTGACATACAGAGCCATCAGCAAAATCACATAATAGACTTGCATAAAGTGACCCTGTCTGCACAGATGTTTTGGCTCTAACTCATCACCACCCCCCTTCCCCGCACCTCTACAATGAGGCTGTTGGTGAGCCTGGCATGGGGGCCTGGTCGGTAGAGCTTCCCCGGTCTCCAACCTGAACGAGGTGTCGTAATCGCGTGTAGGTCTCAAGGGTGCAGGAAAACCAGGAGCAAAGCTGGTCGTGAAATGAAAAATCCCTCCCTTTGCGGCAGACCAGACAGGATGGACCTGAGCAGGACACGGGGTGGAGCGTCTGGGGAGGTCCAGGGCCACCATGAGGGCCACCTTGAAGTGAGACGTGGGGTGAGGTGGAGGTGACGGCTGGTGCCTCCCGGTCAGTTCGTCCCAGCTGGTGCATCCAGCCGGGTGCGACCCGGGTGCATCCCGGCTAGTGCGTCCTGGCCGCAGTGGACAGACAGGAGGCCCTCACAGCCTCAGCAGGAAATAGATCTCCGGCTTGTTGGCCCCTCCAGGCTCGGCCTGCAGCGCGCGGCCTTGGACGCACAGCGGATGCAGGCGGCCGGGCCGCGGGGCAGCACAACCCTCTGGCACGCCACGGCCCTCGGCGCCCCTGGCACCCAGGTAGCCCGCGATGTAGGAGCCAGTGGAGTGGCGCATGCCCAGCGGCTGCCCGGCGCGGGGCTTGGAGCGCAGAACCACGGCCGCACCCACCGCATCCTGCGCACCCCCAGTGCGTGCCCTGGCGCCCTGCGTGCCCCCGGTGCCCCCCGCGTCTCCGATGCCCCCCCCCACCGCGCCCCTCACGGCCCCCGCCCGACCCGCGTCCCGCTCCCTGGCGCGGCTGGCGATGTTGCGCACGCGGCTCTGGCTGCGCGAGGACAGCTTCCTGGTCAGCGCCTCCGGCCGGGCGTCCTCGGGCTCGCCGGACACCAGCCTGCGCAGCTGCTCCGTGAGCGCGTCGGCGCCGGGCCTGGGCGGCGGGCCCGCGGCCACAAAGCTCCGGCTGATGCAGCGGTACTTGCCCTCGAAGGTGCAGGCGATGTCCTCAGAGGTCAGGTCCCCCAGGCTCTTGGACTTGCACGGGCTGGGCAGCGCAGGCGCGGGCGGCGGGCGCGGGCACCAACTGCCCCCGGGCCCCCGCGCGCCCGGCCCGCTGGGTTCCGCGCCCGGACAGCCCGGGGACGCCGGGACCCGGGAGGGGCGCTGGCCGGGCCGGGGCACAGCCGGGACCTGGTGCGAGGGGGGTGCCGCGGGCGCGCGCCCCGAAGGGGACCCCCGCGACCCAGGGTCCTGGCGCACCGCGTCCCAGGCGCCGAAGGACACAGTCCCAGGGTCCACGCCCACCTCCACGAGGCTGCTGTCCGCCGAGCAGAAGCAGAGTGCAGCCCAGTCCGGAGCGGCAGGGGCCGGCGAGGGGCAGGGCTGGGACGCAGATTCCGCGGGGACCCCGGGTTCATCCAGCGGGTCCCCCAGCAGTGCCGAGATGGAGCTGCCCGGCTCGCTGTCCAGGGACAGCGCGGCCTGGTCGATGAGGCGGGAGACGTCGCTGTCTGGTGGGTCTGGGTGCTCGGGGGCCGAGGAGGATGAGGAAGACAAGGATGAGGACAGGCCCGGGTGTCCAACCGTGGCCGGCCCTGCGCTTCTCCCGTGGTCCTGGCGTTCTGCTGGAGGGAAAGGGGGCGTGTTGGGGGTGCGCCCACCTCCTGCAGCCCGCGGACAGACAGATGGAGAATGCGGGTCAGCAGGGGGCAGGCGTGAGGATGGACACAGCGCCCATGCGGCCTGGGTGCATGGCAGGCAGCTCGCGGATGTTACCTGGTCTCCTATTCAGATTTGTACTAGACAGACGGAGGCAGGAAAGATAGAACAAGACACAGGTTAGTCTGCGCGGCCAGGACACACGACTCGGCCGCGCGCGAGTCCCATCATCTCAAGGACTGGCGGCGGAGGCCTCACCCACCAGCTCCATCCTGGGCCCTGGCCCCACAGCCCCTCTCTGACCAAGCCCCACACACATCTGAGTGCGTCATCACTTTAGTACACAAGTGCCCGGGGCATGCCACCTTGAGAGAGGCAGAAAGGGACCGAGTCAAGACCTCGAGTTAAAAACAACAGTTTTGTGGGTTGGGGTTCGGCCAGCCTGCGGGAGCTCACACCGCCATGGCCAAGCTCCCCAAACACACACGCAGGAAAAGCCACTTCACTCACTAGGATTATCCCACCCCGCTACTCCTCTGCCAACAAATTTATGAGTTCAGTTTTTCTCGACCAGATTATTTTAAGAGTTTGCAAATGTCTCAGCCATGAAAAATTTACTTTTGACTATTTTCCTGACTCAGAAAAAAATTCTTTATCATAAAATTGAAAACTCGTGAGGCCAGAACGTTTGTACAGCAGAAAGGCGTTTATCTTGCATGTGGCCAACCTGGGTTCAATCCCAACATCCCATATGGTTCTCCGAGCACCACCAGGAGTAATTCCTGAGTGCAGAGCCAGGAGTAACCCCTGAGCATCACGAAAAAAAAAAAAAAACCTGTAATTCTTGAGTGCAAGGCCAGGAGTAAGCCCTGAACACAGTCGGGTGTGGTCCAAAAATAAACGAGAAACCCAACAATTATAAAGAAAAATTAATATCCTATGACAGTACTACTCAGAGCCCTTTAAGCTTTTGCTCAATAGAATTATGTTCAATACTAGTTTTCTCCAAAAAAACATGTCCGGCTACATAGAACTTGAAATTCTTCCTTTCCTCTGTTTAACATTTTATTCCACACCTTCACTGGAATTACTGCTTGTTCCAAATGCTTAGCACCCGCATGTAAGAATTAGTGGCATCTAAGGGGCATCTAAAAGGTGGGAAACACCATCTTGTTGTTTGCTGCCCACCGGTCTCCCTGCAGCTGACATTCTGCTCCCATTCGGCCACAGATCCTATGCATGGAGCTTGATTTGCCATCTCAAAAAAGGGTCTTTCAGAAGCACAAGGACTTAATGCAGAACCCAGCAGCTTGGAGCAGAAAAGTGAACGGACTATGTGTTAATCCAGGCCATCATGTCTGCCCGGAGGGGAAAGGGTGTTGCTCCCTTCCGCCCTCCTCCCTCTGGAAAGAAAGATGGCGGCCACATGGGAGCCTTGTGGACAGCAGGTATGAGCCGGGGGTGTGGGGGCGACTAAAACCTCATGGGAAGGGGGGCGTTCTGGTCCGTCCTTCACGCCCTACCGAGGTCACCAGTTGCCCCCCAAGAGCGGCTCTCCGGCACGACCACAGCCCCAGAAGCACAAGGACTTGATGCAGAACCCAGCAGCTTGGAGCAGAAAAGTGAACGGACTATGTGTTAATCCAGGCCATCATGTCTGCCTGGAGGGGAAAGGGTGTTGCCCCATTCGCTCTCTCCTCTCTGGAAAGAAAGATGGCGGCCGCATGGGAGCCTTGTGGACAGCAGGTATGAGCCGGGGGTGTGGGGGCGACTAAAACCTCATGGGAAGGGGGGCGTTCCGGTCCGTCCTTCACGCCCTACCGAGGTCACCAGTTGCCCCCCATGAGCGGCTCTCCAGCACGGCCACGACTCCAGAGCACAGAAACCAATCTCTTAATTATCTGACTTTCAGTAGAAATACTTCCAGGGTTAATAAGTAAAATAGCGGAAATCCAAAACCAACATTTAATTCTTGAACCCAGCTGTAGAAAGCAAATCACTTCACAATGCTTTTTCAGCATGTCTGATTTGGGGAGGGGGGTAAATTCTAAATAATAGTGGTGCATCTTTTATTGAAACAATGAATCTAATCAAAGCAGATAGAGTGTTAACTAGAATTCATCTGCCTCGCAGGCACTGGGAGGGGTGGGGGGTGGGGTTTTATTGGGGTTCTTCGGGGTAAAAAATAAGTATTGGTAAAGGGAAATGTGTTTGATATTTGCATGACTGAGACCTAAACCTGAAAACTTTGTAACTTTTCCCACAGTGATCCAATAAATAAATTATTAAAAAAAAAAAAAGGGCCTTTAGGTGTTGGGAGGATCCTCCCAGGATGGGAGATACATGCTGAAAGTAGACTACAGACCGAACATGATTGCCACTCAATGCCTCTTTTACAAACCACAGCACCCAAAAGAAGAGAGAAAACAAAAGGGGATGCCCTGCCACGGAGGTGGGGTGGGATGGGGGGGGGGACAGAGGGTGGGGGGGCTACTGGGATCAGTGGTGGTAGAGAATGGGCGCTGGTGGAGGGATGGGTACTCAATCATTGTATAACTGAAACCCAAGCACAAAAATTTGTAAGTCTACAACTGTACCTCATGGTGTTTCACTAATAAAATTTTTTTTTAAAAAGGGGGCCTTTAAGGTAAATTTTCAGGCACATATTTTTCCGTTAGCAAAGCTATACACTTTTAAACTCCTCTCCCCTCCTTCAAATAAATCACATGGATGCAGGTTTTGGGGCTGTGAGGGTCCGAAGGATGGGAGCCCATGCACCAGGCCCTGGGGTCAGTACCAGCTCCTGATGGTCCCTGAGCACAGCTGAGGAAGCCTCACAAAAACAGATTCTCCCACCCAGAATATCTGAGAAGCCTGACAGCAAGGGCCCTGGGCTCTGCCAGGAATGGATCCCTGACCACAGAGCCGGGAGAGGATCCCTGATCACAGAGCCGAGAGTGGATCCCTGACCACAGAGCCAGGAGTGGATCCCTGATCACAGAGCCGGGAGAGGATCCCTGATCACAGAACAGGAGAGGATCCCTGAACACAGAGCCAGGAGTGGGTCCCCAATCACAGGACAAGGAGAGGATCCCTGATCAGAGCCAGGAGTGGATCCCTGATCACAGAACAAGAGAGGATCCCTGATCACAGAGCCAGGAGTGGGTCCCCGTTCACAGAACAGAAGTGGGTCCCCAATCACAGAACAGGAGTGGGTCCCTGATCACAGAGCCTGGAGTAGCCCCTGAGCACAGCTAGGTGGGCCCAGAAACATCCCCCCTAAAAGAGCAAGAGAAAATGGAAGAAAGCTCAGCAACCCCAGCAGACTGCAGGCTGGATGCAGGCAGGAGGCGAGAGGGTCCTGCCGTGTCTGAGGGCAGCAGTCTCTCCCCTGCGCTGCTGAGGGAAGGGCAGGCGCTGGGCTGGAGGCTGGGCGCAGGGTGGGCCACGCTCCTCCCCCGCCCCATTACACAGGCCACTGACACACGGTGCAGGGGCAGACATGCCAAGGGCCCCACAACCCCTGGGACCCCCAGACGCCCTTCAGCTGCTCCAGCATCATGGGGGCCCTGGGCTCTGGGGCCGCACCCCCAGCAGGTCTGGTCTAAACAGGAACCAGGAAAGCCCTAGTCCGCCCACGAGGGGCACAGTCTGCCCACGAAAGCCCTAGTCCGCCTGCCGCAGGGCCACAGCAGCACCAGCCGGGCAGACTCACCTTGTGTCTCCTCCTGGCCTCCGGGGTCTCCTGCCCGGGCCGGCAAGGGCAGGGCCAAGGGCTCCAGGACACTCCTGTCCACAGGCATGGACACGGGGCGCGCCTGCAGGCTCCGCGGCGCCCTCCTCAGCACGCTGGCCGGCTCTCGAGGGGCCTCCGGAAGCTCGTCCCTGGCGTCCACCTCCCCTTGGAGTACCAGCTTGCTCTTCTTCCTGCCCTTGGTTGGGGCACTGGCCGAGCGCCGCAGGATCCGCTCGCCCAGGGAGCGTTTGCGGACAGCGTGCGGGGTGCCCTCGGCGATGCCAGGCCGGGGGTTCCGCGAAAACAGCCCCTTCAGGCCCTGCAGCTGGCGGCTCTGGAAGGCGAGAACCGGACATCAGGGTTCCTGGCACGCGCGGCCTCAGAACAAGAGGCTCACAGCCACGGGACAGACACGCGAGTGTAGCCCATGGCCTCAGGACAACAGGCTTGCAGCCACGGGACAGGCACACAAGTGCAGCACGAGCCTCAGGACAACATGCTTGCAGCCCCACACAGGCACACGACACAGAGTTCTGGCCCGGGGGGGACAAGCTGCAGGGGACAGGCCCACACAGAGCTGGACGCCTCTGGGCGCATGCAGGGACCACGGCTGCAGGGCTACCTTCGTGGCACCTAGAACGTGCAGGATGGTGTAACTGGGGTTGAGGATTAGTGGGCTCCACTGCAAGGAAAGAACAACAGCGCATTGGGGTCCTTGCCCGGAATCCCCTCCCGCACCCGGGAGCAACAGATCGACCACAAGGTGGTGGGCTTAGGGGCAGTGAGGGCCGCACCCATTTCTCCCCTCAGCGTCACTTTACCCAGGACAGGTTCCACCCAGTTCAAGTCCTCAGTGACCCTCGGGTTCCTGTCCTGGGCGTGCTACGGGGACAGACCACTCTTCGCCGGCATGGGCCCCAGAGAGAGGACATGGCGCCCGGCCCTGTGGGCGCGGCACCCAGCTCCCAAGGACGCGGAGGGAGAGGCCAGCCGCGTGCAGGACCCGAAGGACTCTAGGGCCCCGCCTGGACACTCCATCACTCTGGGTGTCTCCCGGGCTGCAAGTGGCCCACCGAGGTGACCCGTGCGTGAGCACATCCCCCCAGGAGCACTGTGGGCTCCAACCTAACCCTGCACCCCACCTGCCACACCCGGGCCTCCCCAGCTCCCAAGGTGCCACTGCTGGGAGACAGTCTTGGGTCCCTGAGACCCAGGCGGGAAGCCTTGAGGAGTGGGGAATGGGCAGGACGGGTGGGAGGGGCCCTGGAGGGTGGGGCTCTGTGGGCGGGATGCGGGGGCCCCCACGGGTGGCTTTGTCAGGGCCTCACCTTGCCGTAGATCTCGTTGATGGTCACATGGACAAACAGCGAGGCCTCAGGCAGCCCCTCCAGGTACACGTGACGGTAGCCTGGGGGAGAGAGACGGGTCCCTGGAAACTCACCCTTCTTAGCCCCAGCCTGGTTCTCTGTGGGGGCCACACCCTGCAATGTTAGGGCCAAGGCCACGATGCTCCAGGCTCACCCCTGGCTCGACTCAGGGGTCACTGCCGGGCACAGAACCCAGGTGGGCGGTGCTGGCCCGGGGCTCCCTCTCCAGCCCGAGTGCTTGTGTTTGGCTCCGGATCCTCCAGCCTGCTGACCCGATCCTAAGCTCTGCCCGAGGGTGTGGCCACGATGCATGTTTTAGGGGCCCCGGCCCCAGCGGATCCCCCTGAGGCCCATCCCCCAGTCCCCGCCAGCCTCCTGCCCTGGCCCCACCGGTTGCACCTGGGACCTCTGGAACATCATGGGGCCCACAGGGATCCTGCAGCCCCGGGAGAAACGACCCCCAGGGCACAGGACCCCGAGGTGATCGGCCGACCACCCCCCTCCCAGGAAACATGGCCCAGTCCCCTCCTCAGCCCGCGGGGCCTCCATGCCCCTGGCCAGCCCGGTGCTCCGGGGAGTGGTACCCGCATTAGGCCTGAGGGTCCCTCCACCAGCGCCCATTCCCTGCCACCACTGATCCCAGCACGGCCGCGCGGCTGACCTGGCGCCAGGCTGCTGAACGGGACCGTCCTCTGGCCCACGAAGTCCCGGCCAATGGGGTCATGGTCCCACACCAGGAAGCGCACGAGTGCAAGGTCGGGCATGTGCACTGTGAAGGTCAGCGTCTCCTCCCACACAGGGTTAAAGCCTCGGAGAGAAGGAGCGACGCTCAGCCGCAGCTGAGAAATGGGTCAGCGGAGAACGCGCTTTGGGAGCCCTGCAGAATGTTCTGGAATGCTTCCAGGGACCCACGGGAATGACCCAAAAACACCTGATGTGGCACCAAAGAGTGATGGCGTTCGACCCACCCAGAGCCCTGCGAGGAGACCAGGGCCAGCCTGGGCCTCTGCCGCACCTGCAGTTGCCCAGGACCGGGCATGGCATGGCGCCCCCGCCCAGAGGCCAGCTGGTGAGGGCCGGGCCCGGGTCCGAGCTGGTGACAGGACAGGGTCTGACTCCCCAGAACGCTGCCCACTCACAAACAGCACCGCCGCTGCCTTGGCAGAGAAGCGGGCGAGTTGGGAGCCTTCCAAGCCAAGGAACCAAGCTCAGAGGACACGGCCAGGAGGCAGAGGGACACTGGTGCTGTGGCCTGCTGGGCCTGCACAAACGCAAGGCCTTGGAAGGAGAGAAGCACCATCGGGCAGGCCCTGACCGTGACAGGCTCGCAGGAACCAGGCCTGGCATGTGCATGTACAACTCCCAGCCAAGCCCCAGTCTGAGCACCGAGGGGGTCAAGGGACATGCAGAGGCCACGGAGGTGACCCGGGGCTTGGGTCTCGCCCACAGACACACTTCCTGCTGCTGCAGCATCTGCTCAGGGACGTCCTGCAGAGGGGACACCACAGCCATCGTACCATTGTCGTCCACCACTCGAGTCTGGTCTTTACAGCAGTCAACAGGCAAGCCGAGGATCTCGACCTCAACGAAAGGATCGATGATCTAGAAGGACAGAAGAGTGATTACAGGGGCGCCCTTCTCTACAGGTGAATCGACTGGAAAATCGCTGCCCAGATGTCCAAACAGCAGCTGGTCTCATCAGGGGCTTACCGAGGGCAGGAGCTGGGGCAGGCGCGAAAGCCGGGGACACTCGAGTCCAGGGGAGGCCGACCCAAACCGGAGCTTTTCCCAAAGATGGGCAGAGAGGGGCTGAGACAGAGAGGAAAGGGAGAGAGCGGGCAAGGGTGACGGGGACCCTGGGACTCACCTCACCCCGGTCCCCAAACATGGAGTCCGGGGGCTTGGGGAGCTGCTGGCCACTGATGACTTTCAGGACCAGCTGCTTCTTGGGGTTGGCAGGAAATGGGTCTCCAGAGAAGGGGTTGAACGTCCCTATGCAGGGAGGAAAGTGAAGTTAGACTTAGAGCTGGCATCACAAGAGCACACACATGCACACACACAGGCACACACAGGCACACGCAGGAACACACACACTCGGTCACACATGCACGCACACAGTCGCATGCAAACATGCTCACACACAGCCACACGTGTGCATACACCTATATGCTCAGTCACAAGACACATGCACACTCAGTCCCACATGCACTCACATGCTCACACATGCACACACACATAGTCACACAAACATACGTGCAAACACCTATATGCTCAGTCACAGGCACATGCATGAACATTCAGTCCCACATGCACTCACACGCTCACACACGCACACACACACACACACACACATAGTCACACAAACACATATGCACACACCTATGTGCTCAGTCACGGCACATGCATGTACACTCAGTCCCACATGCACGCACACACCTCGTCTCAAAGACAAGACACAGGCATGTACACACACATACACACACAGATGAACATGCGTGTACACACAAACACAGAGAGATACATATTCAGACACATGTGTGAACACGCACACCGGGACCCTCATGCACACACATGAGTACACACGGGGTCACGCACTCACACATGCACAGGTACACATAGGTGGACAGGCCTTACGGAGTCCACAGGAGGGAGCCAGGGTCCACCTCGGGGCCTGGTCTCTGCAGGGACAGGAGGGTCCTGTGGCCAGCCCGGAGCAGGCCCCGACCCCAGGCCGCCCCCCCATGGCCCCTGCAGTGCCAGCAGTGTGCTGCGGGTGGGCACACACGCCGCCCCCACCCACGGGGCCCCAGGAGCCAGCACCGGGCAGCCCGTCCTGCCGGCCGCACCTCTGCACATCTGCTGCGGTTTCAGCACGTAGCCGCAGTTGCCGTTCGCCTGGAACTTGGCACGGTTCAGCTGCATCATCCGCCCCTCGGACTGGTAGTTCAGGGCCACTGCAGGGGGGAGTGGGTTAGGGCGTGGCCAGCGGGGGCAGGGCACTGGCAGTGGGGGTGGACAGAGGTAGAGACAGAGCAGGCAGCGGGCACAGACAGAGAGACAGACAGACAGGCAGACAGGCAGCAGGCACACCCAGCTGGCAGCCGGCGCTCCAGTAGGGCAGCGGGTTGAAGTTGCTGGAATCCACGCGGCAGGCAGACGGGTAGACCCTGGTCAGCTGCCGCTGGTTGAGGGCCATGAGCTGCTCCCACTTGTGCTGCAGCAGCTGGCGGGCTCGGGCCTCGCTGAAGGACAGCACGTTCCCCGAGGAGCCTGGGGAGGGACGCAGGGTACAACACGGGCACAACAGGGCACACAGCGGGCCGGAGGACCCGTGTCCAGTTCCGCCGGCCGCCCCTACCGGCCCCCGACTGCGACTCTGAACCCGGGTTCTCCGCGCCCGCCGCAGGGCAGCTTCCGGAGGCACCTGTGACCTCCACTGTCGGCTCTGGGCTGGCGGGAGGCTGGGCAGCGGGCAGGAGGTCCCGTACCATCATCCACGAGGTCCCGCGCAGCCACCGAGTTAGTGTAGACCACCAGGTCCGACAGCTCCCGGCACAGCTTCATGGTCTTCCTGCGGCGGACCGGCCTGGGGGGACACGTTGGGATGGGGGCTCGGGACTCCCCAGGGGGGCTGCGCCCGCCCCCCAGCCGACACAAGCCACAGCTCACGGGCACCTGCGCTGGGCTCACCTCGGCAGCTGGCCACCCTCCCGGCCAGGGTTCTCGGTCACCTCCTCCTCGTCGGAACTACACGCCCTGGACAGTGACTTCCCGGTCTGCAGCAGGAAAGTGAAGAACCGTGGGGCGGGCGGGCGGGGTGGGGGGATGAACCCCCGGGCCTGCACCTGCCCTTCTGCCAGGCCACGGTGCCCAGCTCAGGTGGCGAGGAGCATGCAGGGACAGCTCCCACCTTCTAGAACCTTGGCTCTGACCTCACCCACAAAAGTCACTCTGTAGGGTCTGTCCTTGCACACAGCCCAACAGCTACCTCCGGTCACTCTGTGCCTGTCCCTACCCATGGCCGACAGCCACACCCGGTCACTCTGTGTCTCTCCGTGTGCAGCCCATCTTCCAAGCCATGGTCTGACTCTGGGGGGTGGCGGGGGGGTCTCCCTGAGAAGCTCCGGCCTGTCCCTAGTACAAGCCCCTTTCGGCCTGCATGGCTCAATACACGCTCCACCTAGGCATGTCCACCACCAAGTCCAGGCCACCAGCCTGTCTCAGGACTCAGTCAGAGCCCGGCTTGGCCAGTGGACCCAGAGGAGACAGGCTCCAGCCCGAGCACCAGCATCTGTGTGTCCGGCCCCCATGTTCCAACCCTACAGCCAGCCTGGAGCCTGTCCACTAGGCCCTGGGCCCTCACTGGGTCTGCACAGAACCTCCTCTGTGTGTCCACCTGTCTGACTGTCCACCTGGTGCTGGACACCGTCTCCTGTCCACCTGGTGCTGGACTGTCTCCTATCTACCTAGTGACAGGCACCGTCTCCTGTCCACCTGGCGCTGGACATCGTCTCCTATCCACCTGGTGCTGGACACCGTCTCCTGTCCACCTGGTGCTGGACACCGTCTCCTATCCACCTGGTGACGGGCACCGTCTCCTGTCCACCTGTGCGCGCGCAGCCCCGGCTTCGCAGGGCATGGAGTGTTTGCGTCTGCCCCCGCCTGGCTCTCTGGGCACCCGGCTGACCCCAGCACCCCCCAGGGCCTGCAGAGTCATCCTGTGGCTGGGTCCTACCTTCTGCCTCCCAAGGCCCACCACGTGCGGCGTCTTCCTGCTTCCCTTGGTGCGGGAGCGCTAGGAAAGGAAACACAATCAGGCCCCTTATCGCTGACCCTACCCCCCACAGAGCTGACCCCGCCTTTCTCCCCGCCCCACCCTGTGCCCAGGGTGGCAGAGACCCCGGGTGGGGAGGCCAGCACCAGCCTGAGCACACGGGGACTCTTGGGCCACGCACGGCCATGTGAGCATGGTCAGAAGCCCCTGGGGGGGGGGGGGGGTTCAGTCCCACGCGGTTCAGCAAGCGTGAGGCCCTGAGCTGACCCCAGGCTGTCAGCATGTGCCCGCAGCGCTGCTCGGCCGCCCTCCCACAGTCCAGGATGGACCTGGCCTGTCCAGCCCTGCCGACCTGTGGGCCCTCTCCCCCACGCCGAGCACAACGGCCCTGGCAGAGATGCTGCCCATGCCATGTGTGAGGGACCAGTCAGTCCCTGGGACACTGACCCTCACAGGCAGACCCCAGGCTCTGGGTTCACTCCAAAACTGCTCTGGAGGGACTCCCATGGCTGTGCAGGGACCCCGTATCCTCACAGGGACCCCCCCATGGCCATGCAGGGACCCTCATGGCTGTGCAGGGATCCTTATCGCCGTGCAGGGACCCCATGGCCCCACGAGCTGGGTCTTGTTCTGAGTGAGTTTCTCTGCACCTACCCAGGGCTGAGGTCCCTTCTGCCCACAGCAGACCTTCCCTAGGCCACCGTGCCCCGGTCCCGACCTGGCCTCAGTGCTGGCCCAGATGAGAAATGCCCTGAGGAAAGCCTGAGGGTATCCATCAGACAGACGAGGCCCAAGCCAGGGACAGGCTGAGTATGAGCGTCCTCAAGCTTGCCTGGCCGCGGGTGGGAGTCTAGTCAAGAAGGTCACTCAAACTGAGCAGCGGACAGAGGGGGGTGGCCAAGGGGTCACCCACAGGTCAGGAAGGGATGACCAAGGGGTCACAGGGTAGAGGGAGCAGCCAAGGGCCACCATGTAGGTAGGATGGCCCAGGAGTCGCCATGTCAGGAAGGACGGCCGTGGGGCCAATGCACGGTGGACGGTCAAGGGGCCAGTGGATGGTCAAGGGGCCACTAGACTGGGTGGATGGTCGAGGGGCACCGCACCGGGTGGACGGCTGTACCTGCCGCTGCTGCCCCAGGTGGGCGTCCAGGCCCTCGCGTGTGGCCCGCAGCAGTGCCCGCACAGTGCAGCCATCCGTGTCTTCCCGCGCCCGGGCCCGCTCCCTCAGCAGCAGCTCCAGCTTCCTGCGGGTGGTGGACTCGGCCTGCAGCTCGCTGCCCCCAGCGCTCTGTGGGCAGACCAGGTGTATGGGCCCAGGTCCCTCCCTCCAGGCTGGGGAGGGGCTGAGGAGAAACCCAGGACAGAGCGGGAACGGCTACAGGGGGACGGGAGCCAGGCGGCAAGCTCCGTCACAGCAGCCCCCACGGCCAACGAACTCCACAGGGACGGGACCCGAGATGCATGACCAGCGGGTCACCTGGGGCCCACACAAGGCGGGTACGGAGAGGCCCAGAGCCCGGCACCCGCAGCAGAATCGGAGCCCAGACGGGCTGTTCTCCACCCACTGCTCCAGGCCAGAGCCAGAGCCCAGTGGGGGACACTCGCCTTGCACGCAGCCCACCGGGTCAGGTCCCTGAGCACAGAGCCAGGAGCACCCCTTAGCATGGCCCAAAAACTAAAGAAAAAACTAAAGAAACTGCTCATCGCTGGGGAGAGGACAGATGCGGGCATCTGTGGGAGGCCGTCCTGGGTGGCCGTCCTGAGTGAGGAGGGGCCACACTGTGCCAACCCTGCCAGGACGTGGCCAGAAGCCCAAGGGAGCAGACGGCTGTCACGGCTGTGTGTGGCGCCACCCAGCGGAGCTCCAGGGTCTGGTAGCAGTGCCTGGGGCCGCTCTGGGGCCACTCATGCTCCCTGTCCACTCACACCCCTGCCCCGGGTTACCATGGCTCCCCCTCCCGCCCACACAGACCATATGGCCCCATCCCACCCACAGACAGGTTCCCCCAGCCACACGGATCCCCACCCACAGACAAAGACACAGACACGGGCCCCCATCACACTCCACCCAGGCGTGGCCCTCCCGCCCGCCCTGGCCACGGCCCCTCCCCGCACTCACCTGCCGCTGCGGGAACCTGCACTCCTCCTCCAGCTCGTCCGCGCTGTCCTCGTCAGACACCTCCCCCTCCTCCGCGTCTGCCCCCAGGTGCGGGGGCAGCTTCTTGCTCTGCAAGAGTCACGTCCTCACGCTCATGTGTGTTCAGAGCAGGGAGGCCTCGTGCATCAGACATGGAGGGGCCAGGGGACTTGAGGTGAGTGAGAGCAAGTCGGCACACCTCAGTGCAGAGGGGCCCACAGCGGGTACGGGACAAGATCACAGGATCCACACAGGGCAGGACCATGGGATCCACATGGGGACGGGACCACAGGATTCACACAGGACAGGATCATAGGATCCACACAGGACAGGACCACAGAATCCACATAGGGGACAGGATCACAGGATCCACACAGGGCAGGACCATAGGGTCCACACAGGGCAAGGTCACGGGATCCACAGGGGAGACAGGATCACGGGATCCACATGGGGACAGGACCATGAGATCCACATGGGGACAGGCTCACAGGATCTACACAGGGACAGGATCACAGGATCCACACAGGGACAGGATCACAGGATCCACACAGAGACAGGATCACGAGAACCACGCGGGAGTACAGATCACAAGATCTACATGAGGACAAGATCATGGGGACCACATAGGGGATAGGATGACGGGAGCCACACAGGGACAGATCACAGGATCCACATGGGAACAGGATCACGAGAACCCATGGGGGTACAGATCACAGGATCCACATGAGGACAAGATCATGGGGACCTTGATCAGGATCCTGTGGGAACAGGATCACAGGATTCACATGGGGACGGGATGACAGAGCCACACGGGGACAGGGTCGTGGACTCCTCTCCCACCTTCAGCAGGATCTTCCCTCTCAGACTCTGCGGGCTTGGCAACTGCCCAGCATCCCCCATATGCACAGCTGAGAGGTCCAGCTTGTCCCGCAGGATCTCCTTCAGGTACCGGGCCAGCTTCCTCTGCTGGGGGACACTGCAGTGGTTCTCGAGGGACAGGATGACCGGGAAGCTGGGGACGGTGGCAGGGCAGGCTAGTGGGGCCCCCCCTGAGCCCAGACCCCGCTGCTCCTGTGAGCCTGCCCCGAGGGACCCACCCCAGAGACGCCTGGGACAGGAGAAAAAGCAGGTTCCATCCCGGCACCCCTACGGCCCCTGAGCCCCACCAGGACCCATCCCTGAGCGCAGAACCGGGAGTCATCCCTGAGCACCGCTGGGGGAATTCCCCCCACCAAAAAGAGCAAAGCAGAGACAGGAGTGGCCGGAAGCCGGAGGTCACAGGCGGGGTCAGGCCTGGAAGCATGAATGGCCCCGCCCACGTCCAGCGCACTCACTCGTTCTTCTCAAAGGCGGCCCTGTTAATGGTCTCCACCACGTCCCGGAACAGGATCTTGGAGGTGAGGGTGTAGCCGTGGTGGACCACAGGTTCCCCATCGGGCCCATCCCAGCAGTCCACTGAGAGGAGGGGCAGGGAGGGGGGAGGGGAAGGGACGAGGGCGGGAGAGATGGGGGAGACAGAAGAAAGAGGGAGAGACAGAGGAGGAGAGGAAGAGTGGGGGAGAGGGAGAGAGACGGGAAGAAAGGGGGAGAAAGAGAGGGAGAGACACAGGGAGAGGGAGACAGAGAGGGGGGAAGGCGGAGGGAGAGAGGGAGAGTGAGGAAGAGAGGGAGGAGGAAAGACAGGGAGAAGAGGGAGGGAGAAGGAGAGAAAGGGAGGGAGGGAGGGAGAGGGGGAGAGAGGGAGCAGCAGCCGTTAGCCCCAGCTCCAGCCTATTGACCATGAGGTGGCCTGACCAAGATGGCTGTGACGCCCGCCTCAGCAGGCCCAGGCCACAGCTGTCGGGAGACTGGTGCCAACTGTGGGGGGACCAGCGCCAGCCATTGCTGTCAGGCTGGTTTCCAGGTGCAGACTTGGCAGATTCTGTGCCATGCCGGAGGCCCCAGGGCACATGTATTTCTTCAGGAGGGGCTTCTCCTCCCAAGCCCACAGGCCACTGGCCAGGTACAGCCCACCCTGGTGGGCCCCAAGAACCCCAAGCCTGAGCCCTAGGCCTTCAGCCCTGCTGTTGACCAAGCATGTCCCTGTGGCCCCCACACTCCACATAGGCGCCCGGGATACCCCATCAGAAAACTAACAAACCTCCTCCTGGTCATGAGCTGTGCTTCATCACAATACCTCAGTCACCACCGTCTTGGTCACTGACGCCTCAGTCACCACCATCTCAGTAACTGATGCCTGGGTCACCATGTGTCAGTCACTGATGCCTCAGTCACCACCACCTCAGTCACCACCACCTCAGTCACCAACACCTCAGTCACCAACACCTCAGTCACTAACTCCTCAGTCGCTAACGCCTCAGTCACCACCATCTCAGTCACCAACACCTCAGTCACTAACTCATTAGTCACCATCATCTCAGCCACCAACACCTCAGTCACCAACACCTCAGTCACTATCATCTCAGTCACCAACATCTCAGTCATCAACACCTCAATCACTAACTCCTCAGCCACCAACACCTCAGTCACTAACACCTCAGTCACTAACTCCTCAGTCACTATCATCTCAGCCACCAACACCTCAGTCACCAACACTTCAGTCCCTACCTCTTCAGTCACTAACACCTCAGTCACTAACTCCTCAGTCGCTAATGCCTCAGTCACCACCATCTCAGTCACCAACACCTCAGTCACTATCATCTCAGTCACCAACATCTCAGTCACTAACTCCTCAGTCAACATCATCTCAGTCACCAACACCTCAGTCACCAACACCTCAGCACCAACACCTCAGTCACTACCTCTTCAGTCACTAACGCATCAGTCACTAACTCCTCAGTCACTAACGCCTCAGTCACTAAAGCCTCAGCCATAGCCACTTCAGTCGCTGACCTATCAGTCACCAATGCTTCAGTCATGGCTGTCTTAGTCTTACACCTCAGTCACTGCCATACTGGTCACTTATGCCTCAGTCACCACCATCTCAGCCATCTCGGTCTCTGACGTCTCAGTCACCAATGCCTCAGTCACAGAGGAGTGTCCTCCCCTCCGGCCAGAGGGAGATCAGTCGGGGGTAGTCCAGACACTGATGCTCAGGGTCCCTGTGTGGCCTCATGCCTCAGGCAGCCCCCCGACAACCACACCCCGCAGCCTGCATGGGCGCACCTTCCACGCAACGGCAGCCATCCTGCAGCACGCGTGCATACATGTCAGCGCGAGACTGGGACAGCAGCTGGTCGCCCGTCAGGTAGGTGTTGTGTGAGGCCGCGATGTAGTAGCTGCTCAGTGGCTGCTCCATGTCCTGATGCACCGTGCGGTGCTGCGGGTTGAAGACATCGCAGGCCGGGCTGCGCAGGAAGTGGGTGAAGCCTGGGGGGGACACGAAGTGGCCGCGTGACCAGACACCTGGGCAGCGACACCTCAGGAAAGTGAAGCCGCCTGGCCGGAAGCCCAGAGCATGGAGGGGCTTGCTCCCAACCAGTGGCATGGCAGAAAGACACGGGCCAGGGTCTCGGGGGAGGACATGGGCTGTGGAACTCAGGGGAGGACACGGGCTGGGGACTTGGGGAAGATTACTAATGTGGGAGTCAAATGGCCTTCTCACAGTGGCCAGGCTGATGCTGTTCCATGACAGCTGCCTCCTGGGGGCATCTGAGCCCTCCCTGGCTCCCTCTCAGACCCTGACACTGGTTCTGTGGCATCTGGGCTGGGCCCAGCCCACGGCGGCTCGGGCAGCCACTGGCCCCTGCCCAGGAAACGTGCCCAGTGCCTGGCTGGTGGCCCAGAGGGGAACATGCTGCGTCTCTTACCCTCTATGCCCAGGACACCGTTCGCCCTGTTCTCTTCTGAGACCTCAAACGTCCTGATGATGTCGAGACAGTCCTCGGTGGTCACGTTGTTCATCTAAACACGAGAGCGTTAGCTGAGCCCAGCAGTCTCCCACCTGGCGCCCATAGGGACAACACCCCAACTTCCGCAATCCTCCCACAGGGCAGCGGGGCAGTGGCTCCATCCTTGGCAACTTCTGGGTTCCATGGCCGCGGAGCAGTGGTGGAAGGGTGAACACGAACCCACAGTTCAAGGGTTCATTGGGCTCCAGGTGAACCCTGGACAGCTTTTTGCACCGATGCCCGGGCAGGAGAGAAGTACCTCCTGGCTAGCACGGTCTGCGTGCACCAGAGTCCGGGACATCGAGGTGACGAGATGGGCAGTGAGGGCAGTGTGCCCATCCGCGGCCCAGGCGCTGCAAGGACCTGGGGCTACACCCCTGCAAGACCCACTCACGGTGGCAGCAGGAAGCAGCATTGTCACAGGCACAGCCCAGGGGATGCCTGAACACTCTCCTGTCCAGGGTGATGTTCGTGTTGGGCCGTGCTTCCTGCCATCAGGGCATCTCTTGGGGCCATCTGACTCAGTCTCCACTTAGGCGCTAGTGAATCCGGCTTTTTAAAAGCCTGACCACATTCAAGTTCTCTGTAGGGGGGCTGTGGCCTATAATTATGTACACATTTCTGTCTGTGTGCATGTGCATGTGTGTGCATGCATGTGTGTCATGTGTGAGCCATGTGTGCATGCATAGGTGAACATGTGCATGTGTGTACACACATGTGAGCGCATATATGTGTATGCCTGTGTGCATTCGTGTGTGTGTTCGTGTGTGTGCATGTGTATGCACATGTGTGAATGTTAGTGTGTGCATTCATGTGTGTTCATGTGTGTGTTTGCATGCATGCATGTATGTGCACATGTGTGCGCATTCATGTGTGTTCGTGTATGTGTGTACACGTGTGCACGTCTGTGTGTATACATTCATGTGTGTGTTTGTGTATATGTGTGCACACATGCCAGGGACGATGCTGTTCCTTCAGGCCCACAGCCTGACGATTCTCAGCACGTCCAGCACAGAATTCCAGTAAATGTGTGACTCCCTTTAGTCAGGCTAAAATGGCCGTGCTTAAATCATGTGAAGGGAACAGCCTCTGGCCTCGCAGACACTCTCCCTCAGGAGGCGATGCGGCCGGCCCTTCTAGGTGCTTCTTGGGAAAAGACTCAGTTCCCATCATCAGGAGCTAGTTCCTGCTCGGGGCCTTTACCCGGAGTCCGTGCCCCTGTGCCAGACAGCGCCACGCATAGTTCCTTCTCCCTGTCACCGGCCTGAGTCCCCCTCCTTATTCCATTCTCTATTCCTGGTGCTGCCGAGGCCGGGCCGACCCCTGACCTCCCAGCTGAGCTCCGGCCCAGTGCCCTGCCAAGTGGCCAGGCAGAAGGCTCCAGAAGGCACCCGGCTCCACCCCTCTCGTCCTGCGGACTTGACCTGCTTCCCCGTCCTCCCCCGCAGGCTCAGCAGCCCCATCTGTCCCATGGGCCCACGGGCCCTGGCCAGCACTTGGGCCCTTGGGCAGCTGGTTCCGTCCGTCTTTCCAGTCGACTCAGCCCGCTCCCAGCCCTCTGCCCCCACATACCGCGCTGCTTCCTGGCTTCCTCTTCCTCCCGTCGCTGCTGCCCAGGGCCTGACCCAGGAGGAGCCTGCTGGCCCGGCCCGAGCAGCCTCTTCAGGGGGCTCTGCGCAGACTGGCCGGAGGCAGCAGCTCAGAGACCAACTGGCAATCGCCTTTCAGACTCTCCCCCTGCCCACTCCCTCCCCTCTCTCCCACCCTGGTGGTCCTTGGTGGCAACCCCAGTGCCATGCTTGCGGCTCCCTCCCGCAGTGCCAGAGTTGGAGCCGGATCCTGCCTGTGCTTAGAGAACTCTGCGGGGCCGGGGCAGCCTCCCTGCAGGTGTGGGGGGTCTCGGTCCTCCCTGCGGGTGTGTGGGGGTCTCGGCCTCCCTGCGGGTGTGTGGGGGTCTCAGCCTCCTTGCGGGTGTGGGGGTCTCGACCTCCCTGCAGGTGTGTGGGGGTCTCAGCCTCCCTGCGGGTGTGGGGGTCTCGGCCTCCCTGCGTGTGTGGGCGTCTCGGCCTCCCTGCGGGTATGTGGGGGTCTCGGCCTCCCTGCGGGTGTGGGGGTCTCGGCCTCTCTGCGGGTGTGGGGGTCTCGGCCTCCCTGCGGGTGTGTGGGGGTCTCGGCCTCCCGGCAGGTGTGGGGGTCTCGGCCTCCCGGCAGGTGTGGGGGTCTCGGCCTCCTGCGTGTGTGGGGGTCTCGGCCTCCCTGCAGGTGTGGGGATCTTGGCCTCCCTGCGGGTGTGTGGGGGTCTCGGCCTCCCGGCAGGTGTGGGGGTCTCGGCCTCCCTGCGTGTGTGGGGGTCTCGGCCTCCTGCGTGTGTGGGGGTCTCGGCCTCCTGCGTGTGTGGGGGTCTCGGTCTCCTGCGTGTGTGGGGGTCTCGGTCTCCCTGCGGGTGTGCGGGGGTCTCGGCCTCCCTGCGGGTGTGTGGGGGTCTCGGCCTCCCTGCGGGTGTGGGGGTTCTCAGCCTCCTGCATGTGTGGGGGTCTCGGCCTCCCTGCAGGTGTGGGGGTTCTCAGCCTCCTGCAGGTGTGGGGATCTCTCCGCCCCACGGGCCCACCTTCTGCTCCGCCCTGAGGAAGCGTGCCAGCTCGTCCGGGGTGAGGTGGTCCTTCTTGCCGCTGTGGCTGAGCAGCAGCAGGTAGAGGTCACGGCGCAGCGACATCATGCTGTAGAAGACACAGAACTCCTCGAAGGCCAGCGTGCCCCGGTTCTCGTCCGTGTCCGCCTCCTGCAGGCAGGTGCCGGGATGAGAGCGGGCACGGGGCTGGGTCCGGCCACACGCGTGTCCCTGCCCCGCACACGTCACCCCCCACGTACGCACACGTACATTCCCCCGGCCCCACGTGTCATCCCTACATGCCGGGGACACGTGGCTACGAGCCGACCACCAGTCACCCACAGCGGGGACAGGAGCAGCCCAGGGCCAGGACGATAGTCCAGCAAGCAGGTGGCCCAGCTCACTCCCCGGCACCCCGGTATCCCCTGAGCTGCTTCTGGAGAAGCCTTTAAACTGCCCCTGCAAGGGAGGCCACGTTCTGCAGAGAACCGAGTCAGTGTAAGAGGGAAACCAGCCCTGCTGTGTCCGGAAACACAGTGACAACCCAGGGCTGCAGCCTGAGCGCAGACCTGAGCCCAGCGGGAGCACGCTGGCCCACTGCCCTCCAGCCACTGCCCTCCAACCCACCGCCCTCCAACCCACCGCCCTCCAACCCTCCGCCCCGCTGTCCTCTGACCCCCCCCTCCGACCGCCCCATCGTACCTGGAACATCTGCCTGACCTTCCTACGGGGCAAGCTGACGTTGAGCTTGTGCATGAGCTGGTGGATCTCGTCTATGCTCAGGAGGCCATCCCCGTTCTTGTCGGCCTCCTCGAAGGTCTGCTTCACCCACGTGAATGCAGTCAAGGAGCAGGGCACCGAGTGTGGCTGGCCGGACCCTCCCTCTGGGGCCACCTCTCTCCCCCTGGCCCCCCAGGACACAGCCCCTGCCCCGCGCGCCCGTTCGCCTCGCCCTCACTGGAGAGGTACAGTCAGGTTCCTGTGGGTTCCTGCACAGAGGGGAGGCTGGGAAGCAGCAGGACTGGGGGACCCCGGCCACCCCTTGGCCCTGCGCCCGACATCTCTATCATTTTGGGGGGGCACCCAGCTTCTCACAGGCTCAACCACCGAGACGCACCCACCGCTCCCAGGAACACTTCATAGTGGCTGCAGCTCGGTGGTCACGACTGTGGCCAGAGTCCAGGAGCAGGCAGGACCTGGGGGAGGGCCCGGTCAGCCATCTATCCCAGAGTTCAGGGTGGTCAGAGCCCAGGAGAGGGCCCGGTCAGCCCTCTATCCCAGAGTCTAGGGCGGTCAGGGCCTGGGGGAGCCCTCTATTCTGGAGTTCTTACTAAGTCTCAAAGGTTCGTTCGGGCCTGGACTACAGACCAGGCTGCAGAAGCCCCCGTGGCCCCACCCCACCACCGAGGCGCACTGTCCCCGTCTCCGGGGGTCCCGCTGGAAGGGGCTCCCGAGGCTGGGATTCTGCTGTCGGAAAAGCCCCTTCCTGCTGGCTGCGGCAGGGAAACACAGGGGGACCCCAGCTCACCTCCTCAAGACAGGCCACATATGCACCCCAGGAAGTCTGAGTCCCTGCCAGTGGCCAGCCACACACTGACTTCAGAACCGAACCTTCTAAAAGCAGAGTGAAGGGCCAATGCCCCCATTTCCCCCCAGAACCTGCAGGAGGGCAAGATCGACAGGTGGGATTTGTGCCGGGCAACTGGCATGGTCCAGCTGTGTGCGGGATGCGGATGCTGGTCTCCATGGCAACCTGGTCCCTCGCCAGCTCCCATCAGGTCAGCTTACATAAATGCTCGCCGCTCTGGACTCTGGCAGGTGACCACACGCCTTCTGGGTGCCCGAGCACTGAGACCCCCTCAGCACAAGCCCGCCTTGGCACCGGCGTCCCTCCTGGGTGGAAAGGGCCAGGGTCGGGAGCAGTGCTGAGCCTGCCACAGAGGCTGGGTGCAGCCCTGCGTGCAGCCGCATCTGAGCAGAGAGGCAGGGCTCGCCTCCTCCACACCGCAGGCCTGTGGGCATCACCCAAGCAGTGCCCGAGTTCCAGGTACCACTGCCAACATGTGGTGGCATGGGCGCTGGGTCCTTCGGGACACCCTAACGCTGACACCATGTCCTTCCCCGTGGGACCAACCCCAGCCCTGATGAACTCCACTGCCTAGTGGATTCGCCAGACACTCATTGAAGATTCATTCTTCTCATCCTTCATTCACAGCTGAAGACTCTGAGTTTGAGTGCAGTAATGATGAACGCTCAGACCTGTTCTCTATCAGCGTGATGAAGTGTGTGCCCCACGAGGGTGTCTCCTGCCATGAAGACACCAGCGAAACACTCCAAACTCCACCAGGCCTGGGACACCATCGACACACACCAAACTCTACCACACCCAAGACATCATCAAAATGCACCAAATTCCACCAGGCCTGGGACACCATCGACACACACCAAACTCTACCACACCCAAGACATCATCAAAATGCACCAAATTCCACCACGCCTGGGACACCATCGACACACACCAAACTCTACCACACCCAAGACATCATCAAAATGCACCAAATTCCACCAGGCCTGGGACACCATCTAAATGCTCCAAACTCCGCCACATTGGAGAGTGATCTCCGGACTCAAGTGGCCTCCCTCACTTGTGCTCTTTGCTGTTACTGTGACTGTTGTCACGGTGATTTTCCAGGTCGTGAGGATGACACTCAGACCCATAGTGACACAGGGGAGCTCTCGGCCTCCAGCCACAGCCCTGCCACACTCCCCCTTGCCATCAGCTCCTATCACATATCTCCCGTCCCCTCAGCTCCAGGCCGGCGGCACTGGCACCCATGGCCTCCTCATCCTCTCCCTCTCTCTGACCAATCCTTGCCACCCGCTCCCCAGGCAACCCCATTCCAGAAGCCCCCCGAGTGTCAGCTGGTGTAATTCAACATGAAGACACCCTAGGCAAGCAGACCGGGTCTGAAGACACCCAACTGCCAAATGCATGGGCCCCACAGCCTTCGACTGGGTCCCAGCATGGCACCTACCATTCCCTACATCACTGAAGCGCCCGTGGGGCACACGTGTGATGTATATGTTCCCTCGTCCAAGCGCTCAGACACTCTAGAACATACACAAAAGGAAATGAGAAGGGGCCTCCCTCCACCTCGCCCGGGAAGAGTGCGAGACAGGCCACGAGGGTCAAAGAAGCTAAATGGGAGAAGAAACACACCCACGTCACCGTCTACCAAAGTGCCAGAGAAAACAACAGGCAGAGGCATGGCCAGCTGTTTCAGCCCCGCCACGTTGGCCCTGTTCAGCCAGCAAACCCCACGGACAGCGGGAGCAGAGACCTTGCAGATTCCTTGCAGGGTTAAGCCCACGCTAAGCACACAGGGTTAAGGCCCATGCCAAGCATGCAGGGTCAAGACCCACATCAGGTGCTCAGGGTTAAGGCCCGTGCCAAGCACACAGGGTAAAGGCACATGCCAAGCATGCACCCCGCCCCACACGCATCCCAGCACTGTGGGCGGCCTGGACTCGCCCAGCACAGTCAGCCCCTGCATCAAGCCGCTGGCCCTGCTGGCCAAAAGCTGCTGGGAGGAGCCCCCTCTCCTCCCGCCAAGTAACTGACGGCCAGTGAGTGCAAAGGGTGTCCACACTGACACCCGCTTCCCCCTGATCTGTCAGGGCAGGAAGGGACTCACGAAAGCGCCACGTGACCATGGTCTGTCCTCGCAATCGGGGCTCAGGAACGCCCCCTTGGGCGCAGCCACCCCTCCTTCCTCAGGGAAACTGATGCAGCTCCCGGGAACCAGGCCGGGTGCCAGGGCTGAGGCTGAGGCAAGAGCGCCTGAAGGTGGCTGGGGCTCCCAAAGCCATGGGAAGAGAGAGGCCCTCCCCAAGCTCACGGCAGACAGAGCAGAGGCCGCGAGGACCTGCACCTCCATCGTGGACGGAGTAGACCACAGGGCACACCTGCAAGCGCAGGCTCACTGCCTCCTCTGAAAATGCTGAGATCCTGGGATCCTTGCTCTCCTCGGTGATCCTATGATCCCATGACCCCACAAGATCCCCGGTGATCCCTGCGATCCCTTGAGATTCCCTGTGATCCCACAATCCCCTATAATCCCCTGTGATCACTGGTGATTCCATGATCCCTGTAATCTCCAGTGATCTCTGGTGATCCCACAATCCCTGTGATCCCTGGTGATCCCATGATCCCATGAGGTCCCCCGTGATCCCGTGATCCCTGTGGTCCCTGGAGCTGTGACAAGACCATTCACCTCCTTTTCCCGCTGTGGGAGAGAGCCTGGGCCCCTTGCAGGCTCCTGACACTGTCACGTTCTCGGCTCTAAACCCCTGTGCACACATGCAGCACAGCCAAGGATATTGGTCGTGGGTCCTCTGCCTCTTGGCCAGCGAGTCCTCGTCTCGGATTCCGGCCAGCAGGTACTTGAGGCCGGTGACCCAGGTGCGGGCCTCCTCGGGGTTGGCAGTGAGGAGGTCCAGAGGCTCCATGTGGAGGCCGTGGTAGATGGTGAAGCAGCAGCTGGGGTCCAGGGCACCCTCGGGCTGCCGGAGGAAGATCTCGGACTGGCGGCCCTCGGTGACTTTGTAGATGGTGTCGATGAGGACTGGGGGCAGAGAGGGGGAGGCCAAGCTGAAGGGTCCCGACTTGCCCCGGACAGCACCTGGTGCCCGCTCACAGGCCTGACCAGCACGTTCTGCCCACCCAGAGCCTGCTCCAAGGAACACCGTCCGGGTCAGAGAACAGGCACCGATGCGGGGAGCTGGAGGGCCACAGGAACGAGGGGGCTTGGAGGCACCCGGGCGCACACATGGACTCGGGGCCACACGTGTGGCCAGTGGGCAGGGTGTGAGTGGAAGGTGCCGGAAGGAGGTGAGAAGGTTCTGGAGAGCCTGGAGGCAGTGCCGGGGCCTGATGATGGAGAGTGACCCCAGCTCCAGAGGTCAGGGCATCCCCTCCCTCGCCCCCGGCCGGCTGTGGGGGGAGCCTGGACACGTCCAGCAGGTCCTGCCCACGTCACTCTGACTCCTGCAGCGCTCTTGAGTGGACACAACCCTGACGCTGCTGCTGTCCATGGGGAATCATGGACCCCTGGCCTGGAAGCCCCTGGTCAGGGACCTCTCCAGGACAACAGCAGGGGCGTCACATGGGGGGGGCCAGGCCACCAGCAAGGGGATAGGCGCTCCCAGAAGGCCCTGCAGGGTGAGGGGGGACGCAGAGGGAACGGCCCCGGGGGCAGCGGGCAGGGACAGCCTCACCGACTACAGGAGAGACACCGCGATCCCCAGCAGACCAGGGACAGGGGAAGCTGCATGTGCTCACAGGGGAACGCACACTGGAGTGTCTGTCACAAGGGAACATGCATGCAGGCTCCTACACACCGGAGTGTCTATGCTACATGTGAACACATGTCCTACAGGCTCCCTGTACACAGGAAATATCTATGCCCCTGACCCTGGCTCTGCCCCACCCCTCGCCCCTGCCCTGCCCTCTGACCTGCCCACGCCCTGCCCCCTTACTCTTTGCCCTCTCGCCCTTGCGTGAGGGTCTCCAGCGGAGGCGGCTGCGGTGCTCATCCAGGTAGAAGAGCCGGACAAGGCCTTTGGTCCCACGCTTCAGTTTGACCATCTGGGTTCCCGACTGCATGACAGTCATGCATCGTTCAACTGCAACGAGAGGCCGCAGCTCAGCACACACACAGGGCTGGGACACTCACGTGTGCACGCACAGTGCCCGGGACACTCATGTGTGCACGCACAGAGCTTGGGACACTCACGTGTGCATGCACAGCGCCCAGGACACTCACGCGTACATGGACAGCGCCTGGGACACTCGTGTGCACACAGCACCTGAGACACTCGCATGTGCACGCACAGCGCCCAGGACACTCACATGTGCATGTACACGTGCAATGCAGAACACTCACATGTGCACACACAGCGCCCTGGACACTCACGTGTGCACGCACAGTGCTCAGGACACTCACACATGGATGCAGGTACAGTGCCAAGATGCTCACGCATGCACACATGTACAGTGCCAGGGACACTCATGTATGGATGCATGTACAGTGCTGGGGACGCTCAGATAAGCATGCACATTGTGCTCGGAATCTCCTGTCTGCCCAGGACACTCATCTGCGGGACACTCAGATGCGCGTGCACACACATGCACACAGTGCTGGGTGGCTCCCCTACGCAAGCACGGTGCTAGGGACACTCACCAAGCACTCAGGCACTCACGGTGGGTCACAGCACCAACACCAGGGGTGAGGTGGCCGAGAAGAGGAAGTACGGGCCAGAAGGAAGCGGCACCCCTGAAGGGCCCAGCAGAGCCTCCCTCACATGAGGACAGGGTAGAGCTGCAGGGCCACTGCCTGGGCCACCTCCACTGTCTCCCTCCAACCCCGCGGGCAGTCACGGCAACTCACAGGAGACACCTCATGCAGTTCCATGCTTGCCAGGGTCGTGGCACCAAGAGATCCGCCATGCAGGACCCAGCAGGCCCAAGAGTGCCAGGGATCCCTTCGCACATATGCAGTGTCAGAATCCCTTCTCGGGCACGACGGGCTACTGTCCAAGTGACCAGCGAGAGCCCCAGCTCCCTCAACCGCTCCCGACTCAGAGTGAAACACAAGTCTCCGGCGAGGGCTGCAGGGAGAATGAAGGCCCCGCAGTGTAGCCTGTTCCCAAGGCCCCTCCTCTAACCTCACCATCCTGCAGGACAAGCCGAGGCCATGGGTCTAGAGGACAATGCTTCGCCGGCTGACCCATGGGTCTGCCCAACCTCCAGACTCAGTTTCCTGATGTCACAGGCTGTGGTCTGCGTGGCCATGGTCTGCGTGGCTGTAGTCTGTTGTTGTGGACTGCATGACCGTGGTCTGCGCAGTCGTGGTCTGCGTGGTTGTGGTCTGCATGGCCATGATATGCGTGGCTGTGGTCTGAGTGGCCATGATCTACATGGTTGTGGTCTGTGTGGTTGTGGTCTACCTGGCCGTGGTCTACCTGGCCGTGGTCTGTGTGGCCATGATCTACGTGGTTGTGATCTGTGTTGTGGTCTGCGTGGCCGTGGTCTGCGTGGCCGTGGTCTTCGTGGCCGTGGTCTGCGTGGTTGTGGCTTGCGTGGCCATGATCTGCGTGGCCGTGGTCTGCGTGGCCATGATCTGCGTGGCCGTGGTCTGTGTGGTTGTGGTCTTCATGGCCATGGTCTGCATGGTTGTGGTTTGCGTAGCTGTGGTCTGTGTGGTTGTGGTCTGTGTGGCCATGGTCTGTGTGGCCGTGGTCTGTGTGGTTGTGTCTATGTGGTTATGGCCCACATGGCCATGGTCTCTGTGGTTATGGCTGCCATTTTATTTCCATTACCATCAGTAATTGATTTTATTGTGTTTTGAAAAATCATTGATTTTTGGTGGCCTGAAAATTAAGGGGAGTGGGGCGCAAAGCCCGAGGCACTCTCTCCCAGAGTGGACAGGGCTGTGGGGTGAGCGGCTGAGCCACAGGTTCCCTCCCGACTCAGACCCAGACACGCAGTCTGGACGCTGTCAGAGACCCCGGGGACAAAGGCTGCGTCTTACAGATCGGGGGCCGGAGACACGGCAAGGGGGCGCCTGCCTTTGCCCACGGCTGGCCCAGTCTGACCCTGAGTTGGTCCCACACGGCCCCAGCGCCCGGCAGGAGGGATAACAGAGCAGAGCCAGGAGGTCTGGACCCGGGGAGGGGCGGCACCCGGGGTCACAAGTTCAAGTTCAAAATGAGGAAACAAATCCAGCCGGGCTGGAGGCTCAGGGTCTGCCAGAGGGAGGGACACCCCGGCCCTCTGCCTCCCAGCTCTGGGCCCCTGCACACACACACACAGTGCATGCAACACACATGCACACAGCACATACAGTACAGACAGCACACACACAGCACATACAGAACACACAGTACATGCAACACACATACAACAGCACATACAGCCTATACAGCACACACATAGCACACACAGCACACACACAACACTCACACATAGCACACGGAGCATACACACAGCACACACAGTATATACAGTACACACAAGCACACAGTATATACAGCACACACAGCACACACACAGTACGCACAGCACACACGTACGCACATATAGTGCACAGTATATACAGCACACACACAGCGCACACACAACACACACAGAGCATACACACAACACACACAGCATATACAGCACACACAGCACACACACACACACACACACACACACACACACACCATGCTGACTTGTGGCCAGGCGCAGCAGCCAGGCCATGCCAGGACAGGCCACACTCCTGGGCACGCAGGTGTCAATCAGCTTCGCGCTCCTGAGGTCGCCCAGGGCTGCTCGGCCGTCTCTGGGCTGCATGTGAGGAGAATGAGCCCGACCTCAAACCCGGCGGCACCTGCCCAGGAATCGAGCAACCTGACCCGCCCTGGATGGGGCAGGGGCAGAGCACAGGCTGACGCAGAGGACCCCAGCCCCGCATACAGACAGACAAGCGAGCGAGACACTGTCCCTGAGACAAGCCCCGCTGAGCCGGGCCCCATCCCACCCTCTAGCACCCCAGACAAGGAACATGGCAGTGCAGAGACCCACAGGACAGCTTCAAGACCAGGTAGACAGGACAGGGGAAAGCGCGGCTGCACGCTGCAAGTCCCCTTCCATCCCCAGAACTGCATCTAGTGTACACACACACACACACACACACACACACACACACACAAGCCCACCAGGACTGGACCATAAGCACTGAGCCAGGAGTCAGCACTGAGCACCACCAGGGTGGCCCCCAACACCCAAACACAACAAATGTATAACGTGACCTTCAGGGGAATAGTCCCAAATGTATTTTAAAGTTCAGAGAACCCCATGACCCCCCAAACCAAGAGAGATCATCAACTGACCCATGAGCACAGAGCCATGTTTTATTTTAATGTCCACCTACTCCGCCAGCCCACATTTGTCTGACTCAGGACGGGGGCCCCTCAGTCATGGACGATCTCCTGCCATCCAGCTCATAGGTTTAGGGGGGTAGGGTTTAAATCCTCATTTAAAGTCCTTCTCCGCCCATGTACTTCCCAAATTCTCCAAATAACTGCTTTCTGGGTCAGCTAGGAGAGAGAGAGGGAGAGATGGAGAGAGAGGGGGAGAGGGGGAGAGGTGGGGAGAGAAAGGGAGGGAGAGAGGGAGAGAGAGAAGGAGAGGGGGGAGAGAGAGGGAGAGAGAGAGGGAGAGAGAGAAGGAGAGGGGGGAGAGAGAGGGAGAGAGAGGGAGAGAGGGGAGAGAGGGAGAAAGAATGAGAGAGGGAAAGGGAGGGAGAGAGGGAGAGAGAGAAAGGGAGGGAGAGAGGAAGAGAGAGGGGACAGGGAGAAAGAGGAAAAGAGAATGAGAGAGGGAGAAAGGAAGAGAGAGGGAGAGAGAGGGAGAAAGAATGAGAGAGGGAGAGGGAGGGAGACAGGGAGGGAGAGAGAGAGAGAGAAAGGAAGGGAGAGAGGGGGAGAGAAGGAGGGAGAGAGAGGGAGGGGGAGAAAGGGAGAAAGAGAGAGGGAGGGAGCGGAGGGGGGGAGAGAGGGGAGGGGGGAGGGATGGAAGGAGAGTTTTCGTGCTTTGGTGCGTGTTTTCAGACATGACTTTACGTGTGGATTTTCCCAATGAGCTGGCACGGGAGCTGCGGAGGAACAAAGTTTCCACAGCCTGTTCCCGGTTCAGGGAGACAAGGCTTCAGGCGAAGAACCCCAAGTAGCCACAGTGATGAGCGAACCCACTTTCACTGAGCTCACTCAGCTCACAGGGGTCACTCAGCTCACTGGGGTCACTCAGCTCACAGGGGGTCACTCAGCTCACAGGGATCACTCAGCTCACAGGGGTCACTCAGCTCACTGGGGTCACTCAGCTCATAAGGGTCACTCAGTTCACAGGGCTCACTCAGCTCATAAGGGTCACTCAGTTCACAGGGGTCACTCAGCTCACAGGACTCACTCAGCTCACAGGGGTCACTCACCTCACAAAGGTCACTCAGCTCACAGGGGTCACTCAGCTCACAGGACTCACTCAGCTCACAGGGGTCACTCACCTCACAAAGGTCACTCAGCTCACTGGGGTCACTCAGCTCACAGGGCTCACTCAGCTCACAGGGGTCACTCACCTCACAGGGGTGTCACTCACCTCACAAAGGTCACTCAGCTCACAGGAGTCACTCAGCTCACAGGGCTCACTCAGCTCACAGGGGTCACTCACCTCACAAAGGTCACTCAGCTCACAGGGCTCACTCAGCTCACAGGGCTCACTCAGCTCATAAGGGTCACTCAGTTCACAGGGCTCACTCAGCTCACAGGACTCACTCAGCTCACAGGGGTCACTCACCTCACAAAGGTCACTCAGCTCACAGGGCTCACTTAGCTCACAGGGCTCACTCAGCTCACAGGGGTCACTCAGCTCACTGGGGTCACTCAGCTCACAGGGCTCACTCAGCTCACAGGGCTCACTCAGCTCACAGGGCTCACTCAGCTCACAGGGCTCACTCAGCTCACTGGGGTCACTCAGCTCACAGGGGTCACTCAGTTCACATCTCCCACCACACCATCCCGAATCTCCGAGTGTGAGCTAAAGGCGTGGAGAATGGATCCACCTCTGGCGCCAAGTGAGTTCATTCACC